GCTGAGATACTGGTCCGTACAGGTGGGGAGTAGGACCTATCCTCTTTGAGTTGCTGGACCTCCCAGGACAGTTTCTCCACAGTCGAGACAAGGGAGGAAGAGAGACTTTCTTCATATGGCCAGAGTTGGCCAGCCAATTCATCCACCATTTGTCCCTCTCTGTCTTTCCAGGTCATCACTGCCAACGAGTTGGCATATGACAATGGTGTGCTCCATACAAACTTCTGCCACATGGGTCGTGTGCACTGGACTTCATCTAGGTCTTTGGATAGCTGCTCATTGTTCAGGTCATCGTAAATCACCTCCAGCATGGCTAATTCCCTCAGGTACTGGATACCTCTTGTCCATGGCGGTCCACTTGCTTGGGTGACATATGACATCTTCCTTGAAGGGATACCTTTCCTTCACGCTTGACAGGAGTCACCTCCAAAGGCTGAGGACTTGCGCCCCTCTTCCAATCACTTTGTCAATGCCTCCCTCCCTAGAAAGGGATCCCAGCTGCTTGGATTCTTTACCCTCTAATTCCAGGCCACTGGCCCCATTATCGCAGTATTGGAGCAGCCAGGTGACAATATGTCGCCTGGACGACGGCTGAAATCTTTTCACATATCTTGCAGCTCACTCAGGGGTAGTGATCGGGTGGTTACTGCCTCATTTATGAGTTCTTCCTCTTCTTCCTCCCCGGGCAGCGGCTGGCTCTCCTCCTCCTGTTCTCATGATGGCCCTTCTCCAGGGTAGTCTGCCTCATCCACTTCTTCTTCCAGCTCCCTTTTAGAAGTTTCTTCATCCCTTACTGAATGAGCTGACTTCTACTTCCAACACTTCTTCTTGTGTATAGGGGCAACTGATACCGGCACAAGTGGTTTTTTTGATTCAGCTGCAGTGCCTGTCGCCGGGGTTAGAGTGGCCGCAGGGCCTGTCGTTTTGTCGTCAGATCCAGAGACCTTCTCTTCCCCTTGAGGGTACTGAATAGTGTTAAACAGGGCTCGGTCGACATGGGCCAGGTCCCAGCACGTTTCAGTGATTTGCGTCTCTGGAGCTGCCCGAGTGACAGCATACTTCTTCCAAATATACTACTAATTTTTCAGGATTCTGCACTTGCTCAGGGGTGAAGTTCCAAAACACTGGGGGTGCCCATTGGCCTAGGTACTTGCCCATGCTATCCCACACACCCTGCCACTCATAACTGTCCAGCCTTGGGGCAGATCTCTGGATGATATTCTTAAATTACTTATTAACCTTAGACAAAACTGAAACAATATTTCCAAGAAATACCAATAGAAGTATCTTAACTAACCGAGGATGTTCAAGATACTGAAAAGTTACTATAATGGAGGAGGAAACATCATAGAAGAAGGTCTTATTTTTAATCACCTGAGCCTATTCATAATGAAAGTCACAACCGAATTTCAAAAATCAAAGGGTGTCCTTCTATCTTCCAACTGAACACAGTATGGAAAATCTAGTGAGGCACAAATGTTAATCCAGAACAAAAGATGAGGAGAAAAACCAAGTCTGACAACAACCATTCTTCGGATCTAAGTTTAAAGAAGGTGGCTTATACTAACAGACGACAGGAACATAGCATGTGGTCATCACCCATCCAAAACGTTGGGGGGACGCCCCACAGGCCTAGAAGGAAGCGACTGCATCGCTGCGCTCATCAACGGCTGGCCTGACCAGACCTCCCCACCTCCCCCGGCTATCTCCTTCTCTCCCTCTCTCCTGCTGCCCCAACGCCTGCTGGTTTAGAAGACCGGCTGTGCAGACCTGAGCAACGTTTCTCCACCGGCAGCCCCTGCGGCCTTAGGGAGATGCACCACCCCGCCGCCCTCCCCGCCTCACGCTTCCCACTGCGACGCGCAATCGCGCGCCCTCCCCGCGTAATTTTCCGTCAACCCGCCGCTTATTTCCCCTTCCCAACGTGCCGGCCTCGGGGCCAGCCGGCTATCGCCCCTTTTCTCCCCGCAGACCCGGCTGAGAGCCCCTTCCCCGGCAGAGCCATGGCGCCTCCCGCCGCCGTCCTCGCCGGCCCGGCCCAGGCCTGCACCGGCCCCTCTCACCGCCGGAAGGCTTTGCGCGGCGCACGCTCGGACCGTGCCACTCACAGGGAGGACGGGGGATCTCAGTACCAGGCGGGAGCCACGGGGAGGGACTGCAGGTGTCTGGCGAAGCCTCCGGGTCTTTACGAAAGGTGTTCCTTCCTCAGTGACTCCCGTAGAGACTCCGACCGGGGACTCATCCCTTCGTCCTTCCTCCCGCCTTGGGCAATCTTCACCCCACCTCCCTGGGCTGCATAGAGGCGCCTAAGATGGCGGGAGGTTCGGGCTGGTAGGAAGCGGTCGAGGTGAAGCGTAGCCGAGCGTCGAGGTCGGGCGGTTGGTCACCTGCCGGGACGCTCCTTTCCCGACCATGAGCAACATCTACATCCAGGAGCCCCCCACCAACGGCAAGGTGAGGCTCGCTGGGGGCAGGGGCTGCGGTGGGCGAGGGGCAGGCCAGGCCAGGCCGGGCCGTGGGGTGGAGGAGAGCTGTACTGCGGCGTAGG